GGGGGGGGAGGGGGGGACAGGAGCGTGATGGTTAAAGGAGGCAGACTGAAAACGGCCATGGAGGTCTCGGAGGGAACTCGGAAGGGAAGGGCCCGTGCAAGTCGCAATCCATTCCAGCTCTGCCCTCACTGGAAATGGATTACGATGGGTCATGACGGGCCCTTTTGTCTCTGGTTCTCAGCTGTACGTTAAACACTGGCCTGTCACTGGACAGGAGTGTTGATATTCAGCAGTGTTGAATTCAAGAAGAAATACTTTAAAATAGCAGGGTGAGCTGAGCGTCTGCAGACAGGAAGGGGGCTGCGATAGAGATGGTGGGTAGAAACGCGGCATCCACACCGTGAACACCATGAATCAGACTGAGCCTGGTGTGTTACACTGTCATGGGATTTACTGATGGCGTAACACAGAAAACGGTGCCTTTTTGTGAGCCAGTCGAAAAAGGCAATGATGTAAAATTTCTCAGATTCTTGTGTTTCTAAATGAATGCATCTGACCTTGAAGCCACGTTTTTTAGATTCAGTTACTCCATTGCTGTAAAATACCCCAAATTGTGCGGTGACTAGACACTGTGAAGGCTAGAACACACAACCGCCTTGAGACAGCCATTTGAAGGGTGTGCGAGGTGAAGGGGACCGAGGCAGGCCTGTTGCTTCCCTGCGGGATGAGGTATAGTCTTAGCCGTACTTCCTTTCCTGGGACTACATGGGACACAGAGGCCCTTCAGATGATCAGCTCTCTCGGGGAGCAATTACCACTCACCGACTTCCTGAGCAGCTTGATTATGGTCTGCTCTGGTTTTCAGCTGAGCTGCGGCCAGGGCAGTGATTCGATAATGAGAGGTCCTGATCAAATTAAGGAGCCATTTGCTTCTGGCTGATGATGTTGATAAAAGGGCTGGTGTGCGCACTGCCTGTTTTTTTTTTAAGGTCAATAAAAAACAGTAACAACAAGCTAGCACAAAAAGCAAAATAAGCAGCAGCCGCCTAAAGTTCGTGTTTTCTTTCACTCTTACGCTGGGAAAAGGGTCTGTTCTGTGTTTGCCGCAGTCCTGACTGGCTCTTCTTGTCTCTCAGTTGTAGGACTCAACATTGGAAGTGGGCACGTTGGGAAGGCGACTGTAGGATGAGTCTCTAACCTCACCCCTGTGAATTAGAACCAAGCACTCAGCTCTTGGGTCTCAGCGCCTGATTCTCACCCACGTGCATGCTCCTAGTTGCATATTTTTTTTAGGACACCACTTTTGCTTAGTTGGGAGGACATAGTGAACATCGTTTGTACAGTGGTCTTTCTACTCTGAGAGTAGGGTGGGGTTGCTCTCAGTGTGTTAACAAAAAGGATCTGGACTGCATCGCACCGGCAGTGTTGAGAAAAGCGGACAAGAAGGGGCATGAAGTACCCCCTGGTGTACCGCTTCCAGCCCATCTGAGTCGGGAGCTTTGCAGCGCCCGGGAGCTCTGTGGGCCGTGGCCGCGGAGGGTGGGCAGGGTTTCCAAGGCCCCGCCCGGCCTGCGGTCGCCCTGCGCAGCTCGGGAGCTCGGGGACCTCGCGGGGCTTATGATTGGTCTGCAGACCAGCCTGCTGCTGCGCGCAGCCGCCGCCTGAGCACCCCAGCCCTGCCCAGGTCCCCGGGCACACAGCTACCCTCGGACAGGGCGGCGAGGGAGCTCGGAGCTGCCGCGGGCGAGGGGTCCTGCACGCCTGCCGAGTGAGTGGGGTGGGGAGAGCGCGCCGCGTGGAGGCGGAGGGCGGGTTGGCGGCTGCCGTCGGGTCCTGCCCACGGCGGGAGAGCAGGCGGCTGTAGCAGCTGGACGGCCGGGACGGGGAAGGAGGCAGCCCAGAGTCGGGTGGAGCCCTGGCTGCCCGCAGAGCAGACGTCCTGCGCCGGGGCCGGGGCACTGCCCGAGCCTGGGGACAGCAGGCTGTGCTCCCCCGGCCCCTTAGAGCGCTCGCAGCATTAAAAATGCAGGAGGTGGGAGGAGGAGAGGGCTGGCGGGAGGACGAGTGCGGCCGGTGCCGGACAGGGGGCGGCTCGGTCCGACCCGGTCCAGACGGGCCCAAGGACGAGGGGCACTTTCGGCCTAAAGGAAGGCGCGCCCATCGGGCGGTGGTCACGGAGAAAGCCGGCGCTTTGGGCCGCCTCAGCCTTAGGAGTTTCCTCTTTAGACGGCGGCCCTGTCCAGCCGCCCGCATCCCAGAGCCGGGCCCGCTGGGCGGCCGGGCTGCGTCCCAGGG